AAATGTATTGTCGATTTGAGTTTGTAATCCTTTTGATTTAGAGCCCAGTATTTGCACCAACTAATTGTGAGTTTATCTCTGCCTGATATTGGTTTTTTAGTACCTTTTTGGGCTTTAAAAAGGTTTCGTAGACGTGTTCCTAACCATTTTAAACACGCCCAACACATTCCTGGTGATCAACCAACCAACCCCTAATAGGAAATATAATTACAAAGCAACATTTACATAAAAAAAATGGATTTATAAAAAACAGTTAGGGGCCAACCAGTTTAATTTTAAAAAAAGTAATTCGACGGAACATGCAATTATCCAACTTGTACGTGAAACTTCAAATTCTTTTGAAAAATCTAAATTTACATAAGGTGTTTTTATCGACTTATCGAAGGCGTTCGATACTGTAGATCATGAAATTTTGATAAAAACTGAAATACTATGGAATAAATTACAAAGTTATAAAATGGTTCCGAAGTTATTTATCTAACCGTAAACAATTTGTTTTTAGTAATATTTGTTATCCAAATGAGTTCCTAAATGTTTCATGTGGCGTTCCCCAAGGTTCCATTTTGGGGCCACTGTTGTTCTTGATTTATATAAACGACCTAAATGAAGCCTCAAATTTAATGAGTATAATGTTTGCTGATGACACCAACTTATTTCTTTCCGATAATGATATTTACAAACTCTTTTCTAGTATGAACGATGGACTTAAAAACATATCAAAATGGTTTATTTGCAATAAGCTAACTCTTAACAGTAACAAAACAAAATGGATTCTCTTCCATCCAATCGCAAAAAAACCTTATTTACCCCAAAATTTACCAGAAATCTTTATGATAATACTGTGATAAAAAGACACTATGTCACAAGGTTTTTGGGTGTTTTTCTTGATGAAAACATCACATGGAAAGCGCATATTGACTATATTAGCACAAAAATTTCTAAAAGCATTGGAATTTTATATAAATCGAGAACATATTTATGTAAAAAAAATTTAACCCAACTATACTACACATTTATTCATACCTATTTAAATTATGCAAATATTGCTTGGGGAAGCACAGAAAAAAGCAAATTACAATGTCTTTACCGCCGTCAGTAGCATGCGATCCGTTTAATTAATTTTGCGGATCGATACACTCATTCCAAACCTTTTTTTATTGAAATGAAAATTCTTAATATTTACGAACTTAATGTGTTTAATGTTTTATGCTTTATGTATTTGTGGAAAAATGACTTGCCCCTACCTATCTTTAAAGTTCTCTTTTGTGAAAAACCAATAAATAAATATACTCTTAGAAATAATAAATTTTTGCATAAACCTTTCTGTCGAACAAAGTTTAGCCAGTATGGTATTGCTTATCGTGCGCCATATCTTTGGAATAAAGTTGTTTTGCCAAACTTTAATATATTTTACACTTTTCCAATTTTCAAACATAAACTCAAAAATTTAATTTTATTTTCCGATGACATAATAAGGTTCTTCTAATTGTAATTATGTACCTTTATTTAGAACTTTTTAATTGTAAAATACGTTTTATGTTAATTGTAAAATACGTTTTATGTAACGACTCTTTTTGTTTTACTTTTCTTTTTGTTTTACTTTTTATTTGTAACGACTCTATTTTGTTTTACTTTTTATCTTTTTGTTTTACTATTTACTTTTACTGTTTATTTTATAAATAGATTATATACATTGTAAATAATTATGCTAAATGCTTGTAAAAGGTTCTGATGATAAGATCAGTACGATCTTCTTTCAGAAACCTTGTTTGTATTTGTTAAAGTATTGTACTACGACAAATGTAAACTTAAAATGTAAAAAAAAAAAAAAAAAGGTTCAAAGAAGATACGTATGACTCAAGTCACCACAATCTTTTTATAGAGCATATTTACAAGTTAAAAAAAATGATAGTTAAAAATACTTTGTAGATCTCCAATATAATAAAAAGGTTAAAGCTTGCATAAATATTTACATTAAATCAAGAAATTAAATAATATCAATATAATTTTAGCAATCGTCATTTAAATATACTGGGACACTCTGTTAAATATCAAAAAAAGAGCCAATTAAAACAAGTAAAAAACTTAGAATAATGGAATTGGTTTTCATTTCGAAAAATCAAGAAAATTATTTATCTAATTTTAAGATTTCATTTTTTATTACAAACTTAAAAAAATTTAACGATTTTACAGATTTTTTGTTTTTTGAAAAGTGTTCCATAGTTTTGGTCCGTGGTATGATATTCCATATTTAGAATACTTACTACTAATTTTTGGGAATTTATAAGTATTCCATTGATTTATTCTAATAGAACACTTTTATTAGTGTTGTCTGAAATAAAAGTTAAAAAGTTAACAACCTATTAAAGAGATTGAGAAAGTCAAAAGTTTTTAGCATTATGGTAGAAGGATCACTGGTAGTATAACCAAGCCATTTAATTTGATCAGAAAATGAGCAATAAGTTAACAATAATATTGGCTGAGGGAAAAAATTAAGGGCGTAGTCAGTTTAATTATAAAAACATTGAAAAGAGTGTAGTTTTGGGAAGAAAAAACAAGAAATTCTGTAAGCGAGAAATTCTGAGTATGACCCTCGTAATCTCTCAAACGCCCGTAACCACGCCCGTAATCTAATACCACGCTCTGCTTGTTTCTCTGAAAATAAGGGGCGTTACTATCAGGGGCGTTTAGAGGAAATTTTTTGGATAAGTTCAAAAAAATTATACCCCTCCCCCTCAGTGGCGGATCCTTCACTTCAACTTCAGTCGAAGAAGCAGTAGCAATGGTTGCTAATGTTTTATTGATATTTGAAAACATAATTTGAGACAGAAAACCACATAAATAAAAAGTTTTTGTAAAGTATCCATGCCACGATTTCTCATTTCATAACATCCAAAAAAAAATCAGTAACAGCTTTTATTAAAACACTAAGTAAACAAATTATTTCTTTCTGCCTATATTGAAAATTTTAGTACTAAAAAAAACGTAATGACTGCGTAGAAAAGGGTAGAAAAATCATTTAATTATTTATTATTCTTTTATAACTTATGAAATAAGGCTCTTTAAAAACATAGGGTGTAATAATTCTCATAATTCTCATGAAAGATAAACAACTTGGCTAACTAATAATTTATACTTAATAAGTCTAAAATCTATATATGGGCATTCTAATTTTTTCTCACAAATATTTGATTATCAAAGTAAACCAAGGAACAAAGACTAATTTTTATCGATGCAATTATAAACAGCTTCTTCTTCTAATAACTCCCTTCCTTTCTTGTTTCTAAAAGATAACGTGATATCAAAAATTCTACACAATTACTTTAATATTTGGTTGCCTAACTTTAAAGGAAATGATGTTTTTTTCCAACGGACTAACTTTTTCTTTAAAATGCTATATAAACTTGTGAATTAAGGGACATTTTAAACTAACCAACGGCCATATTTAATGTTTAATAAAATTTAATAAAACTAATAATCCAAACTTGATTATTCATATTTTTCTCTACCTATTTATCATATAAAATGCAAGTTAATAAAATGATACGCAGCCTAGTGTAATAAAACTGGGGATGTCCATTGATATATTTTAACGTATACTTGTTGTTATTAACTAATTTTGCCTCCTGATGATAATTAAGCAATAAAACTAGATGAACATTCAATCAGGGTGTATGTAAAAAGGGAAGTCCAAAATTTTTTCTAACTGAAATAATCATTTGCTTTTTTTTAAACTAACGAAAAAAAAAAAAATTCAAAGAATACAGTTCTATATGATAAAATAAGGTATGTCAATTTAAGTTTCTAGCATCGGCCAAAGGTGAGAATATTCAGTAGGTTAATCATGATGATCCTAACCCTAACTTGACTTTAAAAACTAGAACAGATTAATAATAAAATAGAACATATTAATAAATAAAATTCTGGAAAAAAATACTGGAGCAAAATTTTGGAATAAATTACAGGATAAACTCTGGAATTTCGTATATAAACAAACCACTGGTTTGCTGGGTAACTGGTATATTAAGCATGATTAAACTCATGCTAAAACAATATTTAATTTATTTAGAAATTTTATTTTCAATTATACAGTAATTATAACCATTTAGGTATAAAAAAAAGTTAAATATTTTAAAATGAAAATAAAAAGAACACGATCTGCATTTAAAATGATGTCGAGTAATCTTCCTTATGCTGATGATTGAATTCTTACAAATAAAAAACTCATTATTTTACAATATTTTGACGTCAATGAACTTGTTATCAGTCTAAGTAAAGGAAAAACTGAATCAATGCTTTTTGGTACACCAGCAAAACTAAAAAATCATGTATTGAAGTTGCAATATAAAAGTGTACAAATACTTTGTAAGCTTTTATAAGTATCAGGGAAATAATATAAATAATACCATTAGATATAAATTTTGAATCTTCGTACAAGTAAACTAGTACGCTACTGAGGTTATTAGCCAACTTCAAACCAAATATAAGTGAAGAAGCCGCCAGAAAAGTTTATATTTGTATGATAGTACCTTTACTTACCTATTCCGGATCAATTCAATTACTTTATACCAAAACGCAGATGTAAAAATTGCCTTTCACCAATAAATAGCACAATAATGCAACAAATCTTCTAATATTTTACAAAAAAGTTTGTAAAATGTTTTAAAATAAACTGAGCTCCAATGGTATTTTGTGTAAATTTTCTTTATATTTAATTACTTTAGTTCTCCCTCAAAAGCCATAGCTTTGTTTTTTCTAAAAAAAAAACCGACTCGTTCTCCACTTCTATCGAAGGTCTTTAATGTTTCTGGTTGAATGCTGATTCAACCAGAAATTCTGCATTTATTCCGTAGTACTCTGTGATTAGATCGTTAGGACTTTCTTGAAGCACCTAAATAATTAAAAAAAATGTTGCATGCACTTTAAACTCGGAGGATAAAGTTCTGCACGTAACTTTAATCAGCCGTTCCGGCTTCTTCTGGTTTTTAGTAACAGTTCTATTTTTATACGGTTGATCTCAATTGTTCCTCGTGTTGAAATATTGTCATGCCTAAGTCTCGAAGAAATAAAGTTATTTCTCTAAGTAAAACAACAAAGAAAGAATTTCAAACTAAAAAAAGTCTTGTTGATGAGATTCGTAAGTGCTGTGATGAGTATACATCTCTTTATGTATTTTCCGTTGAAAACATGAGGAACGATAAGCTCAAAGACGTTCGACAAAAGTGGAAAACGAGTCGTTTTTTTTATGGAAAAAACAAAGTAATGGCTTTTGGTTTAGGGAGAACTAAAGAAATTGAATATAAAGAAAATTTACACAAAATATCATCGGAGCTCGTAGGTAATGTTGGAATCATGTTTACAAACGAGTCACAACAAGTTGTGAAAGAATGGTTTGAAAAATTTTCAGAAGTTGATTACGCCCGATCAGGAAATACAGCTACACAAACCGTTACGATACCAGAAGGACCTCTTGATGAAAATTCATTTCAGTACACAATGGAACCTGTACTGAGAGCCCTTGGTTTACCAGTTATTCTTCAAAAAGGTGTGATTCACCTCACTCAAGAATATACAGTCTGCAAAGAGGGAGATACACTTTCGCCTGAGCAATGTAAAGTTTTGAAACTTTTTTCATATCCTTTAGCAGTATTCCATATTACATTAAAATGTGTTTGGCATTCAACAGGACAATTTGAATTGTTTAACACTGAAAATGAATAATCTTTTTGCTTTAAAAAGAACTTTTTTTTTTGTTTGTTTAATAAACCATTGGATATAAACACGATTTTAATAAAAGATAGACTATATCATAAAGCCTTTCTCTTACTAAAATTGTGTTTATATATGATTATAGTATGAAATAAAAATGAATTAACTATGACTATTAAAAACAAATAGTGAGTCATGCAATTTATATCAGTGTCATTGAAGATGAGAACTTTAAATAGTAGTTTTAGTTATTATTTACTTGGTGTTGCAATTAGAATTACTCTGTATCTGCCTTATACTTATTTTCCTATTTGATCCATCATTAGCTAATTTGTTTATTATTTTATTTGCACTCATTAAGTTGTTATCTAACTCTATTAGACTTTATAATTGCTTTTTTTTTATTTTAAAATAAAGTTTGAATTTTGTTAAGTTACAAGAATAAAATAAGAAACATTTAGGTGGTCCTTTAAAAATCTATAAGGAATCTCTTTCAAATATAGATCACCAAGTGTTACTTTAAAAGCCTTTAAAGCATCTGTTTTAATTCAGTATGGAGTGGCAAGTGAGTTGGTTAAATGGGTTCACAAAAAAAGTCTTTTCTGTTCTTAAAGGCAGTAGTATGTATTACATTATTAAACTAGCCCCCAAATAGAATTTTTGTTAATGCCTAATATCACCTCTTAAATGTGTTTTTTATAATAACATAGCATTCAAATTTTTTTTTTATTGGTGCCAAGATACTTTTGATTATTAAAAAGGTTTCTAATATATAAAAAAATCTTCATAAATGGTCAACTTGGGTCTCAAATGAACTGAAATTAAAATTTAAAAATATAAAAATTTACTGCGCATTAAATAACTTTTTACACAAAAAAACAAATAAGGGCATTTTTACTTATATTTTTAAATTTTTTTTTTTAAATATTTTCTTTATATATAAAACAATTAAAAGTATATTAAAATTTTGTATGGTTTTGCTTGGGAGCCCAGACCCAGGTGGGTTTTTTTTAACAAATCTATATAATACTAGGGAGTAATTTTTCAGACATCCCTAAAATTTTTCAAAAATTGTTTCAAACCAGTGTTATGGAATATACTCAGGCATGAACTAACTCATAGTATTTTTTCTCGAACAAACTTAATGTATATGTCAACAAAGGTAAAAAAACGTTATATAAATTAAAGCACTTACAACAACTGATACATTTTGCAAAATGTTTATTTAGAAATAAAAAGTTTTAGAAATCAATTGAATTTTATTACAAACTTATTTACTCAACTTAATGTATCCAAATAAAAATGAATAAGTTTTATCACTAGTTAGCCATACTAGCTAATATATATATATATATATATATATATATATATATATATATATATATATATATATATATATATATATATATATATATATATTTATATATTTATATATATATATATATATATATATATATATATATATATATATATATATATATAAATATATATATATATATAAATATATATATAAATTAGTAGAAAATCACTCAGCAAAATTTTTTTTTTTTTTTTTTCGAGAAATGAGAAAAAATTTTGCTAAGTGATTTTCTACTAATTTGTAATTGCTCTGTTCTTTTAAGAACATTGAGCACTCTTTTTGTAGAATACATTTTAAATTGTTTAAGTATATATATATATATATATATATATATATATATATATATATATATATATATATATATATATATATATATATACGGTTCACATGTCTCATTGTTGAGGTTTTGTAGGCTTACATAGCCTAATAAAATTTTTATATTATTGAAAATGGTTTTTTAAGCTATATCTGCTAAACTTTTTATGAATATGATTTCATATGAATAAAAGCTTATTTGTGACATGGTTTTTGATCTAGAGAGAACTAATAATATTGAGTATAAAGAAAATTTATATATTATATAAAATATTATTGGAAATCATAAGTAATGTTGGAATCAGAACAATTTCATCCCAATGATCCTAAAGAAAAAGAAACTGAAAGAAGAAAAACGAAGGTTAGTGTTTTTTTACTTAAGGTTAAGGTCAGTGTTATACTTTGTTTTTACAACTTGACCACACAATTTGTTTGTTTTAACTCGAGGCATTTCAAAATGCGCTGAAAATAAAAAGAAAATTTGTAAGACAAATTATCAAACCAAAAGAAAAAATCTTGAAAAACTAAAATTTGAAAAGGAAAATATATTTATATTACGTTTTTGAAAAATTACTATACTATGCGAAATGCTTTGTAAATTATTAAATATATAAATTATTACATAAATATATATTAAATACATAAATTTCGTAATTATTAAATACATAATTAAATATATAATAAAAGTGTACAATAAAAATACAAAATTATTAAATACATAAATTACTACATAAAAATATTAGACACAAATTATGTAATTATTAAATACATGATTTTATAAAAAAATGTATAATAAAAATACAAAATTATTAAATACATAAATTATTATGTAAAATTATTAAATACATAAATTACTATGTAATTACTATTAAATACTTTACTTATTACTTTATAAGATAAACTAACAAATTAATTATGTTTACAATACACCCATTTTATTTTAATTATTAAAGATTATTATACGTAATTATGTTTATATAAATATGTATTTTTTTATAAATCTTTTCAATTTTTTTAGGATTAATTTTATAAACACTTTAAATAGCAAAAATTTTTAGCGCAAAAACAAACGTTACATAAAATCAACTCGAATTTAATAGGATAATAAAAAGTGCTGGTTTCTATAAGCATTAAAATAACTATTACGTTAAAATTTTTATAAAATAACTTTAAAAGGGCTTTTAAAAGCTAAAATATAAAACTGGGTTACTTGATTCAAAAAAATATAATGCTTCAGCATCTTTTGAAAAAGATGTTAACTCATAAAAACTCAACTTCAATTCTGTTTTATATAAAAAAGAAAAAGTGCAAAAAATAAAGTTTATTTACAATTTATTAATAATTTTGGAACAACTAAAATGATTAGTAAATACACATAAAATATGGGTCAAACAAAATGACCGATAAATATCCTTTTTTACTGGACAATGTCTGATGTCCGGCGCTTATTTCGAGCCCTGATATATTTATAAATAAAATCTTTTAGGGGAGTGTGGGCTGAAAGCAAGCAAGAGCTTTAGCGCTTGCCCACACTCCCCTAAAGTGGTTTAGGGGAGCCATTGATGGCTCTTGAAAAAGTATATTTTTTTCATAAACATAAATCACTTTTTTTTTTTCAATTAATAAAACTAGCGGTTCGTACCCGTAAAATATAGGTCTTAATAAGTCTATTTGACACCTATCATTTATATACTTTTTAACTTCAATATTTTTTATATAAAAAAGTCTTTAACATAGATAATAGTTTGGTAAAATTTTTCCCAGTGTTTTTGGAAACTTAAGGCTATAATAAAATATATCTTTCTCATTTAAATTATAGTTATTTAAAAAGTAAAAGAAGGCACAAAAATGGGTTACAAAACCTAGTTATGTTAAATATGTTAGATCTTTCTGTTTGATATATCGTGTAGGAACTTTTCTGTAACAAACTCTTTCAATTGATCTGTTTTTAAACTATTATAGCTGTTGTTTTTGGCAAAAATTTGCACTGAAAAGGTATGTAATGGAAACCATCAGGGTCGTAATCACCAAGGTAATAAAAGTATAAATGTTTTCAATATATGTAATAAAATACAACTGATATATATATATATATATATATATATATATATATATATATATATATATATAAAACAAAGCAAATATGGCCAAAATATCTATACGAAACAATAATTTTTAAGAGAAAAAATATACCATTACATAATATGTAATTATGTAAGAAACAAAAGACATACTTTTCTTAAGATAAAATTAAAATATTGATACTTTGATAACAAAAAAGTACAATAAATTATAATATTTTACTATAAGCTGTCAGGACTAGTAACTGTTTTAGACAAGTTGCAAAAATGCTTTGTAAACATAGTTAGATCTGCTTATGCAGCCAACCTCCAACCATTATCACATCGTTGTAATGTTGCATCTCTTTTTCTTTGCTATAAATACTATAATGGGCACTGCTCTAAAAAGCTAGCGCTTCTTGCGCCATCTGCTAAAATTTATTTTTGTGTTACTTGTCATTCAATTAAGCTTCATCCTTTTACTGTGACTATTCCTAAGTGCTCCAAAAATTCTTATTCGTCTAGTTTTTTTCTTAGAACATCAGTTCTTTGGAATTCGCTTCCTTTATCTTGCTTTCTTATTCATATAATTTTTAATCTGTTAAGACGTCTGTCAATCTTTATCTTGCTCTATAAACTTCATCTTTTTTCTTCCTGTAACTTCCAACTCTAGTAGTGGTTGCTTGTAGCCTTGTTGTAAACAAAGATATTGAAAAAAAGGCCCTTCAGTTTCAGGATTGGACAGGAATGACATGCGATCGCAGGCTGTAACTGACCACACTTATTAAAATTTTTCTCTACAATTTGACCATGGCGGTTTTGATGTTTTAACAATTGCTATTAAAAATATTGTTACATTATAAATAACTTTTAGTTGTTGATCTTTTCTAAAGTTTTTAATTCACGCAAAAGCTTTAAATAAAATGAAAAAAGTAATTATAGTGGTTTTTTATAGAAGTGTTTTGTGTAAATTAACAAATAATGTTATATTTAAATTTTTTATAATGTAGGCATGTTTTTTTATGATAAATTTAAATATAATTTGTTTGAAACTATTTTTTCGTGTCTTTCAAAAAATCTTTTGAAAAATAATTTTTTTAAATACTTTCAATTATGAATAAGTTAAATAAAATCTTCTGTTGCAATTGAATGATTTAGTTGCTTGTTTTTTTTTTGTTTCTATTTTTACAAACCTTTGAGACTTTTGAGAATTGAAATGATTAAAAATTGCTATTTTAATTAGACTACAATATTTTTTTAAACCTTTTTTTTTTTTTTTTTTTTTTTGCAACTTTTTAGAAATAATAAATGTTTATACAATTTGAAAATAATATATATGACACTTTTTAGTAATTTAAATTAAATTTGTTTATTCATTAAACAATCATTAGTTAATTTCATTCAACAATCATTAGTTAATAAGCATGCAGTTAGTTTGGTTAGTTACTTTATTTTGAATTTGTTTCATTTTCTAAATGTTCTTTTTTTATTATAAAAAGTAAAGCATATTATCTGCATTGTAAAGGTGTTTATGACATTTTTATTTATATATAAAATGTTAATCCTTTCCTGGCGAGTGACTTGCGCCTTGCTACATAAAGTCTGTACCTAAACGACAAGTGAACTGTGGTGAAGTGGCAGTCCATCAATAATTTTGAATTTTTCTTAACATCTATAGGGGTTTTAAAAAACTTTAAATATATATCTGAAATAGGAATAATTTCTAAAGTTAATATTTTTAACCGTTTGTTATTTGCATTTATAGATCAGTCAAAAAATAATTTTGAAAAAAAGGGAACAAGTTGTACTGATATAAATGAGATATTTTTTTGATGATAGTGATATTGAGATAGCAATATTGATATTGATTTGGTGACTCGTATGATTCTAAAAGTATTTTAGATTATGTAAATGAAGAATTGCTACCCTTGTCTGAGGATTTACCAGTTCAAAATTTAGTTTTACTATCACCATCCATCACAAATATCAAAATTTCCTAAAAATCAAATATTCTGCCATATTTCTGCATCTGAAGATAAAGCAGATAGTGACCTGACCATAAAATCTGAAACTGAAGAAGAAATTTATGAGGAATCATCTAGAGATATAAGTATAGAATCTTATAGTGAAAAGGAATGTTATGAAACTTAAAGGGACTAGCAAGTCCCGAGACATGTTGTGTTCATATTAAAGAGAATGTTAAAAAAAAACGTCTGAACAAATTTTTTTGATTAAAACTAATTAATAAATGTATACCAAGAAAAATAAATCTTGTTGTTTTAGTCAAAGCTCGTCTTCTCCGTTTTCTCTGGTATTTTGAGTATGTAAAATAAACGCGATTTTCCAGGCGCATTATACAGACTTGATAATTTATTCAAGTGCGTTTAATTCATAGGAGTTTTAGTGCATGACGTCATAGATTTTTTTGTTTGTTTGTTTAAAACACCGATTGTTATTTTTTACATACAATTTCCAAATCATATTCATTTTTATAATATTTTAAAGTTGTAAAATGTGTTTGTAAAACAAAATTAAAAACAAAATAAAATAAAAAACAAAATAGTATTTTATTTGCACAACTTTTTTTAAATAACCGTCTAGACTACGTGTATTTTGATTTCTTTTGTTATAAGTTTTTCTTTCAAAATATTAGATAAATAATTTTTAACCTAAATAATAATGCACTTTGATTAATTTATTTTGTAAATATTTAAAAAAAAATTATTTATGCATTTTTTCTCTGATTTTCAAACATGTATTTTTTGGTATTGAGGTGATCTTGTTTCATTATTTATATTTCTATTATTATAACATCCAATATATATTATGGCGGGGGCTTAAAAATTATAAAAACTAATATATATTAATTTTTATTTTACAGACATACATGAAAACATAATTAACTTGAATGTTCTTAAAACATCTTGCCGAAGAATAAAAAGAATATTCGCGAACACTAAAAACCCGCCAAATTTGCGAACAAACTAATTCTATTGGTTCAAAAAATACGCTGACTAGGCAAAATAAAGTCAAAATACTAGAGTATTCTGTTGAAATGTTTTAGGAATTGTATTATCTACGATTTGTTGTGTTTTGAGATATCTAGCATAAATTTTTTTAGAATATATTATCAAATGAACTATTACTTTAAAGGTGAGTTTCGACTCATCCGTTTTTTCACGGGAACGGGATAGGAAAGAGAAAAATAATCACGTAAGCATGCGTAGTTTTCCTTCAGACATATTAAAATTTATACTATGCATGCCCACGTTTTTTTTTTTCCTGTTCCTGTGAAAAAAACGGATGAGTGGAAACTCACCTTAATATTATGGCTCAATCTCGGAGCCACATCTGTAAAGCCGTAAAACTTTTAAACTATTATCATTTGTTTACAAAAATAAATGTTTTATAATATATATTTTTTAAATTGTCAAAATTTTGAAAGTTAATTACAAATTATATATTTTATTAGTATGTTCTTAATTTTTATATCTTTTCTTAGTGCTTGGTTTAATTAATTGTTTGTTAGATTTGTAAAAAACTAACGAACAATTAATAAAGTTAACTTTTAATAAAATAAGTAACTATAGTTAGCTATTTGAGTAAAATTTAATAGTAAAATTTTTAAAGAATTTCTAGAATGTTTCCAATGGCGTCATGCTCTAAAACTCCTATGAATTAAACGCGCTTGAATAAATTATCAAGTCTGCATAATGCGCCTGGAAAATCGCCTTTATTTTACATACATAAAATACCAGAGAAAACAGAGAAGACAAGCTTCAACTAAAATTCAAAAAAAACAAGGTTTGTTTTTCTTGGTATACATTTATTAATTAGTTTTAATCAAAAAAATTTGCTCAGACGTTTTTTTTTAACATTCTCATTAATATGAACAGAACATGTCTCAAGACTTGGTAGTCCCTTTAAGCAAAAAAAAAAGTTTATGACAAATAATTAAAGTTTTTGATCGTTCAATATTTTGTCGCCCTTACGTCACGCTAAAACTTTAATTTTTCGACCATATCATTAAATTATTAATTCTAGTCATTATATATTGTAAAAATATTTGAAAAAAACAACATCTTTTAACATTATTAAAAATGAATAAAGTTAATTTATTTAACATTTCTTTATTTATTTATTACAACAAGTTTATTTATTACAACAAGTATTTAACATTTGTTTCTAGTTAATATTTAATTGCTTTAAAGTAAATGAGCAATTATTTTTAATTACATCTTTAATTACAAGAGGCATATTTCTGCCTCCAATTTGACGGCCGCAGCCAGTTAGGAGTTATATTATCGAAATCAGAGTTGATAATACCGCCCGGCATTATCAACTCTGATTTCGATAATATAAAAATATTTGGGTGCAAATTATTGAGATTCACAAGTGAAATGTTGCTTCGGTGCTATTAAAATTTCAATCGTATAAGAATACTTTGACATAAATTATAGAGATTCGAAAGTGATAAAATATTTCAATGCCATTTTTAGAATTTCGATAATATAAAAATATTTTGATACTAATTATAGAGATTCAAAAGTAAAAAACTGTTTCAGTAAGTTTTCAATAGTGTAAATATATTTCGATACAATTTTAAAAATTTCGAAAGCAAAAAATTGTTTCAAAGCTATTTTTTGGTTTTCAATGATTAAAAAATGTATTGAAAAAATATTGTTAATTTCGAAAAGTGAAATTCATTTCGGTTCAAAATTAAGTAATTAAAAATCGTTTCAAACTGACTGAAACAAAAATAGTGCTTCGAAAAATTTTTTATTTAATCGAAAACTCAACTCTTGCAAAAGTGAACAACCCTACAATACAACCCTCGGAATTAGGAAAATTGAGGTCGGCAATAATAAAGGTCTCATCATCGAAATGCCGACCTCAATCTTATAGAGGTCGGCAAATATAAAGGTCTCATCATCGAAATGAGGTCGGCAAAACATTTTTTTTTGCCGACCGC